TGATTTTTTGACTTTGACAAAACTCCAAAAGGCCAATTCTAAAGGCCACTTAGTGGCAACCAGATACTAGGGGCTCCTGGCCTTACTACTAGTAACAAGAAGCTAGTAGTAACAAAGGGCATCGCTACTAGTAACAAGTGCCTTACTAGTAGTAACAAGAAGCTACTAATAGCTTCTTTGTTACTACTAGTAAGGCACCTGTTACTACTAGCGTGGCACTTGTTACTAGCAAGTGGTCGAGAGTGACATATACGCAAGTGACCGAGACTCGTGTCCAAGGCACTGCATTTGCATCGGTCGCGGAAGCCGAGTCTCAGGCCGTCCCTCAGGGACTTTCCGGACTCGTTGTTTGTGCAAAGTCAAGAGCAAGAGTGTGTTTTTCCTTTTTCTGGTCTTAACATTAAAGTTCTCAAGTCGTACGGCCGTTGTGTAAGAGTATATACAGCATACATAGCTTCTCCTACATATATACAAGTGACATAAGGCACTGCCAAGGAGATAAGCAGTGGCTGAGCCATTTTTTGTTGAAACAAGTTTCACTGCTGTTTGATCTTCTGGTCGATTTTGGGAAATCAACATTAATACACATTATGTCCTTTGAGATGGTTCACAAGAAGTCGACAACGCAATATTGATCTACGTTGATCTATGTTACAGGTTGAGGACTCTCATTGACGGCCGCGAAGTCGTCTTTGTTGAGTTCTTTGTTAGGACATATTCAGCACTTAGGCAGCAAACAAGGCCATCATCCTAACTTCGTAACTTGTTTTGTATTTCATTCGGTGTGCAACAATCAAAACCGCAGGCCCAGACCGACTTGTCACGCTTGCAGCTGCAGCTGACAAAAAGTGATCAGGCACAAGATGCACAAGTCATGAATCATGAGTCCGATAAGTCTATGCTGTTGTCTTGGTTAACTTTTGCGGTGCAAAGGGAATGTTATGCGAACTCGGGTTCTCGTGAAGACGATCGTTGCCAATCACCTGTTTTGAGGCCAGATCGAAGGCGGCCACAGCGAGCAGAAGCCTCAAGCAGTTGGGGTATTCCGAAGCTGAGAGAATGGCAGACCAGGAGACTCTTTTTGGATTGCTGTGTAGATCTATGTTGACTATAGATAATGGACTCGAGACTTGGACAATAGTTGTAGTGGATTTTGGGGAAGATAACTAGTTTCTTCCTGTTGTGGCTTGTGCACATTGAACCAATCTTTAAAGGCTGAATGACCATGCATGGCATTGCATGGCAAGCCATAAAGACCTGTTGCTAGTGCGTTATAGGTGTATTGTATATATTGTTTGTGTTGTTTTATTTGTCAATGTTTGTTCCCAGGCTAGACAATGTGTCACAGCATGATGCTCCAAACAAAACTGAAGAATGTGTTTGTTCCACTCAACATAACTGAACCACCGAAGCTTTTTGCAGACATTCGTGTGCTTCTTTTTACAGGCCGCGCACCTCGTCAATTGCTTGCTTTGGCAGCACTCTTGGCGGCCGTCGCAGGCCAACTCTTGTTGAGGTTTCTCAACGACCCGACGAGGGAGACCATTTGGCACACTGCATTCGAAGCAGTGGTTGTGCCCTTTGCTCCGTTAGCATCCAAACGCTCCGTTCGTAGGAAGGCCAGGAGCCCCGTTCGATGCCGCGATTCGATGCCCGAAATGCTCCAGGTGGCCTCCACATGACCAAGCGCGAAGCACCAGGCCATGTGCGCACGACAGCTGTGTTTTTCAGTGGGCTTTACGGCGGAGAGCGGACCAGTGGAGTCAGATCAAGTAAGACTCAAAGGGCACGGGAACATATGGGAACCACATGGGCGGTGTCACTCAAAGGAGTAAGGAAGAATGAAAAAAGAAGACTGCAATACTAGGAACAAGGGCATCGCGTTACTAGGAACAAGTGCCTTACTAGTAGTAACAAGACTAGAAGCTACTAATAGCTTCTTTGTTACTACTAGTAAGGCACCTGTTACTACTAGCGTGGCACTTGTTACTAGTAGTAACAAGAAGAATGTGCACAGTTTGCTGGTCCAAGGAGTGCATGAAGTTGCCTCAGTGCTTCCGGTGGAATTGAGCCGCTCACCTGGACCAAGAGTGGCTCAATTCGGGAGGACTATTCTAATTGTTTGTTGCACCTAGTAGTAAGGGCATCGCTACTAGTGACAAGTGCATCGCTACTGGTAGCTTGTTGTTACTAGTAGTAATGTTTTGTTACTAGTAGCGGTGCACTTGTTACTAGTAGCTTCTTGCTTTATTGTAAAACATCATAAGTGTGGGATGACTTTGCACTGTAGCGGTCAATACATCCATGAGCGCTGTGAACCTCAGAGATGTCTTTTGATACTTTTTGCATCGATTTAAAAGAGTGTGACTGTGACACGCTGCTTTCAATAAGCATCAGCATCAACGCGTTTGCACTGTCCCAACCCCTTGCATCAGTTGCACCGCTGAGTGTACATGCCGGTACACGAATGTTGCTTTCTTTACGTCTTCCAGACTCAGGCGAAAGTGCAGAAAGCACAGAAATCCCAGTGAGTGAGCTGCTCAGGCATTTTCTTGACACATTTGGATGTTTTGTGGCCTGACCGTCCCGGTGGAAGCAACAGTTGAACATTGTACACCTGGCCACGGTTTGCTTCAACGCTGTGTTTTTTTAATTACATTCATACAGGAGGGGCAAAGCTGTGGACTTGGAAGTTTTACATGTCCAAGGCAAAAGGATTACAAGATATTACAAGGGCAGTATGCTATTTATGCGATTTATGCAGGTCTTCATTCATCGACACGATACAATTTCAAGCTCCAGATTTGGAAGTCGGTTGTAGGGACCAGGACCAGGAGTAACACCATGGTGACTCCGAAACAGAAACGGAGTCATCAGTCATCATGACTCCATTCTATCATCTAGCGACTTTTTGGCCAGGTATTGTGCAACTGGGCCTTCATGTAAAGTCGATACCGGCCCCCAGGCCCTCTGCCAGCGCAAGAAGCAGCCCCAGAGATGATTGCTGTGGGCCCGAGTGGCGTGCTTGGATTTTCTGGCCAGCGTAAGCCCAGGCATCGATTTTGAACCTCTTGCCAGCCTTGGCCATGTTCTGCATTTTTGTGTTTGCAGTTTTGCGAACACAACAGCTGCAGATTTGCGGAGAACATGGCAAGCATGTTCGCTCCGCAAACAATGTGTTTTGTTTGTCAAGGCCCATCCATCAATATTCTTCCTTCGTCAAGGCGGTAAGTCATGTGGCGAAAGCCTGCTTGTTTGGCAATGTTCTAGATTTTTGTATTTGCAGATCGCACGTTGTAATGCTGGCAGATTGTTCCAACAATATCAATTGGTTTTAACATCTCCATTTTCAGGTGTTCCTTGCAAATTTGAAATGTGGAAGGCCCATGGATTTTCCAATGCTTGGCGCACCGAAACATCTTGGCCGTGGACGTAGTCCAGAGCTTATCTATTATGTCAGAAGCTCAGCAGGTTGTTTGTTCCAGAAATGGAGTGCAATAAAGTCGCTAGTACACTCGCAAATCCGACGATATCGCACAATGCCGCACATATTGAATTTTAACCATACCTCATATCGTCGTTTTGCCCAATGTTGCAGTTTTCCAAGCAAACATTTCAATGGAAGAGATTTGTACATCATTGGGGTATACGGTATACGCATGTTTCTATTTAAGACGTCAGAGAGAGTCGATATAGACCCTGAGTGTCGACTTGAGACGACCCGGTCGAGGTAAAGCAATTGCGAAGTGACAGTGTTGAGGCTGTCGGCATGTCATTTTTTGTTCATGCCGTCCTGGGGGGCCCAGGGCACAAGAGTGAAGAGGAAGCTAAAGAGGAAAATCTACTGAGTTTCTTTCCCTGCAGGGTGCACTCAAAGTATATTCTGGAAGAGTTCAACTTGCGGAGTTGTGCAGATCTTCATATTTCGAAGTGAATGTGAAGCAAGCTTTGGGGGGGGGCTACGAGCTGCGTGGACGCACTGGATGCGAAAGTGAATGAATAAGAACTCAAGGTACAAGGACATTTCGCGAAAGGCCCAGATTTATTGAAAGGTTCGCAGAAACTCCTCAAAAGCTCAGCAGCCCCATACAACCCAAGGACAAAACTGCCCAGATTGCAGACATCAAACAAGCACCAACTCGAACCCACCCTGTAGTTCAATGTAGTTCAGGAATGTTCAGCAAACAATTGCTTAATTATCATATATTATTTTATATTATAATAGCAACAATCATTAGGTGCTCGGTGACTGAAGCAAACTGATACAAGACCCAAGCAATTGCAGCAAGGTTGCGGAAGCGTCCCAGAAAGGGTTAACAGAAATTATGCTAAAGCATGTATTCATGTATGTATCCCTTTGTTGTCTTGTTCGCAGGAGAGGCAAACCGCGTTGATGAGCCTGCTGGCCACTGCCAGGGGAGGCGTAGAGATGCGCACGGCGATTATGCAGGCGGGATCTGCACCACAGGTGAGAAAGAGCAACCCTAGGCCGCCTAGGCCCTTCAGGCATCGTGCTTCTGAGATGTTTGGGTCAGTTTACATCATTTCAGACACTCGTTGACTTCCCCCTCCACTACTTGCGAATGAGTAGTCCCATGACACAGCCAGTGATCCTGGAAGTATCTGGAAGTGGGAACTCACGCACATTTGACCAGACCTTGATTCCGCGAACCCCAGGTCATTCTGACCAGCTGTGGGATGGTGTTGTAACTTGTCCAGCTGTGATGCCATGGATTGTTCATGTGCTATGGCTGTGCACGATACGTCAAACCATGCCATGAACAACTCTTCAGTGTTCCTTGCTTTGTTTTGTCGGGTGAGAGTACTCAACACACGAATTGTCCTTCATACTGTACCACTAAATAGACAAATCTCCTGGTAGGCAGCAGGTCAGACGGTGTCACACCATTGTCATACAGTGCATGTTGGATAACTGCAGACTATCTAACACTGATCAGGCTGATTCAGACTGCCAGATGCTGCAAATGCATGTTTAAAGAAAACAACGGTCAGACCGCCGACCGCTTGCCCCCCTTTTGGGCTCGAGGAACCCGAGGGAGAGAAACTCCGGTGGGTCATGAAGTCGTCTCTCTCCGAGCTGGGACGACCAGGCAACGAGCGACGACGAAGAAGCCCAAAACGGAAGAAGCCCAACGAGCAAACGAGCTTTTTGAGTTTTACCTTCATGAAGAGAGGTGTGCATATGTGTGTAAGTATGTATATATATATATGTTGATCGTCAGTGGTCGCGACTGTGCAGGGACTCTCATGCCCGAATGGCGGAAAAGGCCGCGCGGGGCGCGGAGCGGGGCTACCAATATTGGTAGCGGAGCCAGGTTCATTCCTGGCTCCACCTGATTTTCCGGGCACGCTGGAAGTGTGCCGTTTCACGCGACTGTGCAGCGATGGAAGCGGGGACGTCACTGAGGTACTTCAGTGGCGACGACTGTGACCACAGGGAGTACCGCAGATGGAAGCAGTGGGCCTTGAACAAAATGAGAACGATGGACAAACTTCCCGAAGAGGCCCGTGGTTCTTTCATCTGGACCTTGCTATCAGGCAAAGCGCTGGAGGTGGTAGAGCATCTCAAAGAGTCTGACTACCAGGTCAAAGGGGGCGAAGCCGCCATCTTCAACCTCCTTGACCGGCGTTGGCCGGAGCTGGATAGGACCGACGAGATCGGCGAGAACATCGCTGAGGTCTTTGCCTTAAAGGCCAAAGAGGGTGAGTCGGTCCGGGTCTGGTGCGCAAGGGCCCGAGAATGCTTCGACAAGTGCGCCAGAAAGACTGGCGTCAAATTCCCCGATGAAGCTCGTGGCTGGATCCTGTTGAACTGCAGCGGCATGTCAGAAGAGCATCGTGCCGTATGTCTGGCAAGAGCTCAAGGTGATCTCAAATTTGATCAACTGGCCCAGGCTATGAGATCGTGCTTTCCCGACTACGTCGTGCCCAAGAAAAAAGCATATGGTGCCCATGCCGTCGAGGAAGCTTTCCATGGACCGACTGACGACGACGGCTTCCAAGATGTGGAGCTCTTTCTGACTGAGCATGGCTATGAAGATGCCTTCACTGCTCAGGATGATGGCTATGATCCTGAGGGTATTGATGAGGATGACGCCGCTGAGATCCTCGCCGCCACCTGGCGGGAGAAGAGAGCTGAGTTGAACATGGTTCAGAAGGGGCGTAAGTTCACCGCCTCAGATGGTCGAAGAGGACAATTCGCTGGCAAAGACACCAAACGTTCCTTCCGGATCCAAGTGGAGGAGCTCAAGCAGAGGACCCGTTGCCGCAAATGCGGCAAGATCGGCCATTGGCAACGTGAATGCAAGTCCACCGGGGCATCAACGTCTGGTGCCTCATCGCACGCGAGCCATGCTGCTGGAGCCGTGCAGGTGGTTGAGCAAGATGGTGCAGAGCATTTCATTTGCACCGCTGCGACATGTGGTGATGTTGAAGTGATGTTGGTCAGCAGTCCAGGTTATGCCATTTTGGACAGCGGTTGCGGCAAGACCATCATCGGCCGTTCCACCTACGAGGCCTTCTGCCAGATCTGGAAGACTCACGGCATTCCGTGTCCCTCGGAGAGGGCCGAGAAGAACAGTTTCCGGTTCGGCAATGGTCAACAAGAAACCAGTACAGCTGCCGTGGACATGCCTGTCTATTTGGCCGGAAGGCCTGGCTACATCAAAGCAGCCATTGTGAAGGGGGCTGCACCCCTCCTGCTGTCGAGACCGGCGATGCAAAGGCTAGGTGCTCAGATTGACTTTGCCACCGATCAGCTGTCCCTGTTTTCTGGAAAGGTGAACATTCCGATGGAAATCAATCCAGCTGGACAGTATTCGATCCGCGTCACTGATTTTCCAGATGACGCCTCGAGCAAATTTCCTGAGCCAATCCCGGCATCCGAAACGCCGGAGTCACCTTGCCTCTCGGTCGAATATAATCATCACATTAACAAGTGTAAAGATTATTGGGAATATCGGCCTCAGGATAGGACTGTGATTCGTCATCACCTCAAGCCAAGAACGCATCGATTCACTCCCTGTAACACACAATGTCCAGTCGAGGTGAGCCGTTTGCAGCATGTTCGAGTCACACAGGTCAATAACCCCACTTCCATAATCAGGGACCTTCAGGACGATTGGACCAATCCGATGGAAGCTCATGCACCTCATGATTCCAAACCATGGACTGGGAAAACGGTGTTTCGGCTTCTCGCCCATGCGTTGCCGCCGTCCCTTCCTTCGACTGAGGAAGAACAGTTGCACATCATGCACTGGACGGCAAAACAACACCGTCAGTTGATGGCCCAGGTAAAGGCTCCGAGTCGAGACGATAGCGATCGTTACGACGTGATCGAAGTGTTCTCACCACCTCGTTTTGGCCTCGAGGGTTCCAAACTAGGTATGAGGGTTCTTTCCGCTGACTTGTGCACTGGTTGGGACTTCAGGAAACGGACGGACCGGGAAGCTCTCATGCAGCATGTCCGTGTCAGTCGACCTAAGCTTTTGGTCTGTTGTCCGCCCTGCACCTGGGCAGGTGGTTGGTGGCATCTCAACCGTTTGCGCATGAGTCCGAATGAGGTCAGAACCAGGGAGTTTTGGACACAGTTGTTCATCAAATTCTGTTGTGAGCTCATGGAACTCCAGTACGAATTAGGAGGACAATGTTTGTTTGAGCATCCTAGAGACTCGATGGCCTGGAAATTACCGTCCATGGAAAAGCTTAGCAAGAAGATGCATATCATCTCGGTTGACATGTGCTGCTACGGCCTTCGCGTTCCAGGTGGTGATCTGATTCGCAAAGCCACCCGGCTGCTGGTCTCTCATGCAGAGATGAGAGCTTTGGCCAAGCAGTGTCCAGGATCCTCGCATGCTAGCCATCGAACACATCAGGTTGTAGCAGGACAACATGCCATGGTAGGATCCATAAGCAAGCATGCAGCCAAGTACACCCCAGCATTCGTGAAAGCCGTACTCAGACTCGTGCGGGGGTTGCCAGTGACGGACTGCTTGGTCCTCGTCGACGATAGTAGTACAGAGTGTCTGGTAGCACATACGCTGGCTGAGCTGAATGAAGAATCCGATGAAAAGGTTAAGACTAGTCTCAAGAGGTTACACCAAAATTTGGGTCATCCAACAAATCAACACATGCTCAGGATCTTGAAACATGGAGGTGCGTCTCAGACAGCCATCGATGCCGCCAGAGACTTCCATTGCGACCAATGTCTTGCGCAGAAGAGCCCAAAGGTAGCCCTGCCAGCACAGCCACAGAGAGTGGTAGAGTTCAATGCCCTGGTTGGTGTTGATATCAAATACCTTCCTGGATGGGGGGTAAACCAAAGGATTCCCGCTGTGAACATCATAGATCATGCTAGTTCCCTGCAAATTGTCGCGCCTATCTTTCAAAGAGAGAACTCCCAGATCCTCAAAAGGGTTTTCATGGAAAGGTGGGTCTCATGGGCCGGTATGCCGCAAGAGATTGTGTGCGATCCACATAAAGCGAACTTGGCAGATGCCTTTGCATCTATCTTGGAACAGGGTGGCGCCACGTTTAAGTTGATAGCGGCTGACGCCCATTGGCAATTAGGAAAGGTTGAGGTCCATGGAGGTTGGTTCGCACGGGTGCTCGAAAAAGTACTCTCCGAACATGTACCAGTCAATCAAGAGCAATGGATAGATTGTGTCAATGCCGCCCATTGCAAGAACCAGCTGATCCAAGTGTACGGGATGACGCCATCCCAATTTGTGTTTGGCAAGAATCCTCGGATTCCTGAGAATCTGCTCGATGAGCCTCTTGATGTCGTGCCTGCAACCTCCTCCTTGTACGAAGAGGCTTTGGCAAAACAAGTGGCCATCCGGCAGTCCGCTCGGAAGGCCGTTCTGGACTTGCAAGATAGCAAATCACTTCGGTTGGCGCTTGCTGCTCGACCACGGACAAATCAATGGCATGAGCCAGGCACATATGTTGCCTTCTGGCGTTCGCAGAAGTGGATTCATGGGTCTCTCGATAGAACCGGTCGATGGCATGGTCCTGCCGTGGTGCTGGGATATGTAGGTCGGAACGTAGTGCTCATCCATAAACGTCAGATCTTTAGGTGTGCTCCCGAGCAGGTTCGACCATCAACCCAAGACGAAAAGAAACTCGTCGAGACACCCCAAATGGATTTGCTAGGGATAAAGCATCTGGTTGAATCCGGTAAGCTTGACAGTAAACAGTACATAGACCTTGTACCAGAGCAGTACCCTGGTCTGCCAGCAATGCCGTCCGGAGAGCCTGTGCCTGCCGATGAGCCATCATCGGTGTCAGATCGTGCGGAACATCGGGCAACCGACCCGTCTTCCGTGCGTCCGAGTGAGCCAAGGGTCAACAGTCAACCACCACCATTGTCTAGTGTGGGAGATAATCAAGTTCCTGTTGAAGATAAAGCCACCGATTATCAAGCGGAACCATATGTTCGAAGTGGTAGCACTAAAGGGATACCCGAACCTCCCAGGAACGCTGAGACCGTAGATCCCGAGACGGGATATGGCCCTGTTCGACCCGCTCGTAGACGCATTCCACAGAAGGATGGGCCCGCAGCTCTATACCGGCCGAGCCGTATGGCACAAGATGATTTCCAAGAAATGACGCAAGAAATCGTGCCGCAGTTGATCAACCGTGTCATGGGATCTGCTGAATCAACTCCATCCGGTTCGGAACCAGTCGAGCCAGAGTCCACCACAGAGCCGCACAAGGGTCTCAAGCGACCGGCCGATGAGCCTGGCCCAGGTGATCAACCACCCGGTAAGAAACCTAGTCAAGACATGGATGAGCTATATGTGCAAGAGGTAGGTCAGACCTATGTCAAGGACGAGGTAGCCATTTGTTCAGTTGAGTGCCTCAAGCAATACCACCATAGTTCCAAGAACCATGACCTGTCACTAGAAGACATAAATGACTTGGTAGACATGTATCAAAAAGGGGCATGCCATGAAGCACTAGTAGCAGCCTATGTCAAGAAGAAGGCTTCGAAAGAACTTCCCGTAATAGGAAATGCACCCGAGATTCAGATCAAGATCGATGAGGCCAAACTGTTGGAGTGGAACACCATTTTGGCAAAACATGCTGCTCGTCTAGTGTTGGGACCAGAAGCGGACAACGTTCGGCAACACCTGAGCCACCGGATCATGGGCAGTCGATATGTCATCACTGTCAAGCAAGAGGATGACAGTGCACCACGCATGAAAGCCCGTTGGTGCCTGCAGGGTCATTTGGACCCGGACCTCAGTGAAAAGGCCATGCATGGAGACTTGCAGAGTCCCACCCTCAGTCAAGTCGGCCGCAATATGTTGTTTCAACTGATAGCATCACATCAGTGGAACATGGCCCTGGGGGATATAAAAGGGGCATTCCTAGCTGCAGGTAACCTTCCACAGAGATATCGTCCATTGTACGCCAGCTTACCCCGTGGGGGTATCCCCGGAGTTCCTGAAAATGCCTTGATTGAGATTTGTGGACATGTGTACGGACTTAATGACTCTCCGGCCGCATGGTACAAGAAGCTCCATCACGAACTCATTCAAGTAGGCTTTGAACGGTCTCGTTTCGATTCGTGCCTGTTTTATTTCAGAGAACATGGGGTTTTGACTGGTGTTTACGGTGTCCATGTGGACGACTGTGTGACTGGGGGAAATGGACCAGGATACAACCAAGCCATTGACCGACTTCGCAAGACGTTTGAGTTTAGGAAATGGCGCTTAGGTTCAGGTGACTTTTGTGGTAGCCAATATGAACAAGACCCACAGACTTATGAAATCACCATGAATCAGGAACGGTTTTCCCAAAAGATTCGACCTCTCCACCTCAGTCGTGAAAGAGCTAGAAACAGAGATGCACCGTTAGATCCAAAGGAAATCAGCTGTTTGAGGGCAATCAACGGCAGTCTAAATTGGCTGGCTAATCAGTCGAGACCAGATTTGGCCACTCAAGTGTCCTTTTCCCAGCAAGCGTTTCCGACACCGACGGTGGGAGACGCCATCGCTGCAAACCATGCAGTGAGGAGGGCTAAGCAGCATGCCGATCAGTCCATTCGCTTTTGCGCAATTCCACCTGAGAACCTTGGACTGATGTGTCACTCAGACGCTGCTTTCGCCAATGCTAAGGCTGGTGCGACTCAAGCAGGTTACATGGTGAGCTTTGTTCATGAACATGTCAATCAAGGAATGGATTGCCAGTGGTCACCTGCCTTTTGGAAAAGCTCTAGGTTACCAAGGGTCGTAAGCTCCACTCTTAGTGCCGAGGCTCAAAGTATGTCAACCGCATCTAGCATGTTGGAATGGGCAAGCCTACTTATGTCAGAAGCTTTAGATGGTCCTAGATGGTCACATAGTTTGTGGGAGGGATTAGGCAACCGATTGATCATGTTAGTCACGGATTGCAAATCGCTGTACGATCATCTCACATCCCAATCATCACCGACTCTCGATGATAGAAGAACAGCAATAGACATAGTGATTCTCCGTGACAGCGTCCATAGGTTGAAGGCAAATCTGCGGTGGATTCCCACCAACCGCATGCTTGCCGACTCCCTCACCAAAGAGAGCCCGGAAGCTTTTGACCTGTTACGCGCCTGCCTTAGAAGTGCTAAGTACCAGATCAGCCCAGAAGAGCTTGTCCTGGAACGAAGAGCCCTTGAACGTGAGCGAAGAAAACAATTCGCTTCCAAGCCGACCGGTGATTCGAGCACCATAAGTCAAGGGCTAGAGCAAGAAGGATAATCCATAGAATACACAATCTAAGACAGTCTAGTCTCAAGGGTGAATGCGAGCATTCAAGAGTGTTGACTGTAGGGTGCATTGTGTTGGATTCTCGAATCGTCGGTACACCCACCTGTGAAAGCAGTTGATGTGCATGTTTTTGTTGATGTCTTGTCAGGACGTGATAGAACATGTCTGGTAGAGGCCTCAAATTAAGTTAATATTTCAGACTACACCATGTGTCATCCACCGTGGTTGTGGATCCAGGATTCCCCAACCGGAGCGTGATAGCACCGGGCCGTTTGTTTGTGACTTTCGATCAAGTGTCATGGCTATGACCAGCTCCAAGGACGCCTTCTCTCAGGCAGAGGCGGAGGAATGTCTCCACCTCATTCGGAAGGCTCGTAAGCACGGTGCTTTTGACAACATCATGCGCCGGGTTCGTGACCTCGAAGATGTAGAGCTGGATGAAGCTTGGCTTGGCACGCCAACCGGATCCATGACGGATGGCAGCAAGAGGCTTCGAGAGGATTCGTCAGTGAACCAAGTCGGAATGTATGTGAAGCAGACCACGCCATACTGTGCAGGCCAGCTTGTTCCGGTGCCACCTATGCCATCATCCTCAGACAAGCCGACTCCTCTGCCAACGACAGAAGGCCTGCCACCGGGAGTGGCCAATGTGACTCAGTGGGGCAAGACGCTCGTAGCATTTGGACGCTACAAGGGCCTCAAGTCGTACGATGAGATGTACGAAGCCACGGATTCAGAGATTGCTGGATATCGAGCGTACTGTCATTCACACTACCAGTCCGGCTCTCCTGGCCTTCGCGATTTGGTCGAGTACTTCCGAGCTCGAGGTGACGGATCCATGGGAAGTCAAAGCATCATCCCAGGATCGAAGATCACTCGGACGTACAAAAATATTTAAGAGGAGTGTTGATCGTCAGTGGTCGCGACTGTGCAGGGACTCTCATGCCCGAATGGCGGAAAAGGCCGCGCGGGGCGCGGTGCGGGGCTACCAATATATATATATATATATTATGCTCGTATATAGCTCAACTGGTGAGGTGAGGTGGAAATTGGGCATATTGAGCTCATTTGAGCAGCATTCCAAATTCACCCTTTCATTTTTAGTCAGGGACCGGCGAAAAATCAGTGAAAACAGTGAATTTAGTTGATGTTTGTAAGGTGTCCGCAAGGTTTCCCGTACGGATACGCAGATTTGAACGATGCCGTAAGGCTACCGGAAGCGAAACTTGTTTACTTTGATTCTGTTTCCTTTCCTGTTTTGCAACAACAAACCACATGTTACCACAGTGGACTTGCATACCTCCGCCTTAAGCACAACGTAAGAATAGCCATGCATACATGTGTAAGCAAAACATAGATAAACGTAAGCCTTGCGTAAGGCCTACCGTAAGGTTTGATTTCTCGGCAAGAAAAGACAACACTATTTTGAACACCGCTCATTTGAACGCACACTCCTTCCAGGTCCAAACCTTTAGTGAGAACATTGGCTTAAAGATCATGTGAAACCAAAACTGATGCCAGCTCGGTTCGGAACAGTGATTTCAGTGCCGCATTCATGTTTAAAGGTGGAAGAGCCAGCCTGAAAGAGAAATGTTGCTGCCGCTGCTACAGCTTTCTAGTTTGCGGAGTTTTTGAGTCTTGGCTCAGCGTTTCAATATGGCAGTCTCACGGGTTCGCAGTCGGGCACAAGCTCAACCTAGCTTGGAACATGCTTGAACTCCTTCCTGCCTTCCTGGACAAAGACAAACAAGAATAGATGATCAAACGGGCTATTGGAGAAACAGTATGGCTCACGCTGTAGTGAGAGTTTGTAGATCCAGGCTTCATAGTCATTTTGCAATTCAGGATTGAATCCTGCTTGTTTCAACGCGCCGTACTGTCCAAGGTTTTTGGTGTTCTATTGATCGTCATGGGTGCTATGAAAGACCTCACTCTCTCCGGTGCTTCAGATGATTGGTCCTTCACGTGGGGCTTCGACTCGACTGGAAAAGGGATGCTGGCGCTAGTCATTGGATGCTCGGTCACAGTGTGTGCCTTCTTCTTCTGCTGCATACCTATTTGCTGTGCAGAGTGTGCCAGCTCTGAGATGCGCCATGCTTGGGGACAGGAAAGCAGAAAATGCCGGCGATGGTGCGCATATAAGTGCTGCTGTTGCTGCACAACTTGCTTTAACTGCTGTAACTTCTGCTGCGAGCATTACTGTTGCTGTTGCTCGCAAAGGCGGCGAGACTCAGAGACAACCAACACCGACTATGTGCCGAGAACAGATCCCTATGCTGTTCCAGAGGTTCCTGAGATGGTCGAGGTGGGGCGTCCCGTTGAAATGAAAGCAACCGCGATATAGCTTCTCTTCAGAGTTTTGAGCTGCCTGGACCTAGAAAGTGTTGACGCAAAGCGTCTTTCACTTACTGTCCGACAGCTTTGGGTTCTTTGAATCGATCACGAACAAGAAGTGGGTAACGGATGGTAACGGTAAATAAACGGGGTCCACATGTGTCCACTAAGTCACTAAGCCTTTAGTGTAGTGACGTTGTTTGCTGAAGGCCCAAGACCAGGACAATTTCTGCATGGCTTTCCGAGCAGACAAGCAGCTCCAAAGCAGAATCAGGCTTCCAGGGTCGACTCAACACGAGCGTGCAAGGCAGTGGATTGTTGTGGATTTTGCACCACAAATTGATCCGGCATGCAACATGTTGAAAGCAGCTTATTTGGTGTTACTGTTACAGTACTTTATATACATTCTCGTGAGTCAATCCTCGCAAGTGTAAGCTTTCTCTAATTATGACCATTTGGACTTGGCCAGAGTGAAACATGCTTTGGCAAGAAACTGTAGATCACAGGCCTTCAAGAGCCTCAGAAGCAATGCTCCAAGCAGAAAGCACAAAATGACAGGATCGGAACGATCCTGATCCAACAGTTGCGAAAAGGTGTCTTTCGCATTGCGCTTGGAAGAGATGTGCTTTCTATGTACAAAGCCCCAGCAAAATGCACGGGCCCTAAAGACGTGCTTTCTCACCCCCTAAAGGCCTTAAAGACAGTGCCAAGGTGAAAACAGTGTGGGGGACAGCGGCTACAGTTGGTATGTTTTTCTCCAGAAGAGTCAGATGATTCATTTAGACTTGTATCATATTGTGTGTACAGTAAATGTTACGATCGTCAAGCTTGTCTTTTTTGGATGTTTCAATCATGTTGTACTTATATAATGAATATACATAGGGGATAAGAACTGAGACTGCGATGACACGATTGTCATACTGTTTGGCAGATGATGGAAGATGCTCGACAAGCATGAAGTCAAGAACACAGCTACTTTTCATGCCAATCACGCAATAGTGAAAAGAATGAACGGTACAGACACTTATAACTTATAAACGAGCAGTGAAGACAATCATTTAAGTCTCAAGCAAGAGCCTGTCCACAGACTACTGTTGGAGGCCGGAGCTGTTTTACCTTTGGTGGAGCTGCTTCGTGAAACAACAGCTCCTGCAGTACAGGAGGTGCGCTGCCAGCCATGTGGTTTCTTTGCGCATCAAGTGATTGGCTTTGGTCAGGAGAACCATTGAATCACATCCTCATTGATGCTGCATTGTCCCTTTGTTGTTCGCTTTTTCGATCGCTCAGTTGCCGAGGCGGCAGCCGCAGCTCTGGGCATTCTGTGTGCCGATGGCGAGGCGGCTCAGTCCACGTTGCTGCGTGCCGGAGCAGTGCCAGCTCTGGTGAGGCCGCTGAGACCGTGTGGATCGTCCACAGGTTTTGATCATATTTGATCTACCCGGAATCTACCCAACACTTAAGGAAATGGGGTCTTTCTGTATGGATAGACAGCAGTCTTTGTTTGAAGAGTCTCTTTTTTGGTACTCAAGGGTCATGCCCAAGACCCAAGAACCAAGAAGCTAAGGTCTATAATCTCCTGAGGTCTCCCCTTGTTTTCTGGTTGGATGAGGTCTCTCCTTGCTCCTAGTAGCGTTCTTGTTCCTAGTAGTACGGCCAGGAGCCCCTAGTAGCGTCCCTGCTCCTAGTAGCGATGCCCTTTGTTACTAGTAGCGATGCCCTTGCTCCTAGTAGCGTTCTTGGTTCTTCTTTGAAACAGAAGATGTTTTCATTGAGCGATACCTCCGAGAGGCTTTTGGGCTCCGATGCCTCCGTGCCAAGCTCAGGGTCCTTCGCCAAACGAGCGCTGATGCTTGCTTCAGCTTTGGACGTCTAGCATTGTTCTTTCTTGACCTCAGCTTGCTGAACTAAAAAGCTGAGAATGTATGGCGCCAAGATGTGCTCAGAGTATTCACACCTTGAATTGTTTCAATATGTTTCAATTGTTTCTCTCACATTAACATACACCCTTTTAGCATCAACATGAGAGGCAACGAAGAAAACAACATAGAAACAACTACGATCAATACACAAAGCAAGCTGAAAGAAGAATCCAATGCGGTGCTGAAGTCAAAGAACATGAGACACGTCTTGACATGTCTTGACGTTTGTTTTTTCTCACTTAGCATTTCTTATGTGTTAACGTTGTCAGCTTCACGTCACCGTGTTAACCTTGTCGACCTAATCGACCTTGTCCTCTCGCGTCATCCACGGTCATGTCATGTCCTGTCCACATCGCCTAGACGAGGCCTTGAGGCCTTATGTCATCAAGATTTTGTTTCAAACATCTTCAAACTATGTCACCAATATCAATATACAGCACAATTACCTCACCTACCACCATCGATGTCCAGCCTCAAGGTTCCCACGCATGCTGCAGCGTCTGCGCTGCGCAACCTAGCAGCGAACCACAACCAAGCGCAACTGGCAATCGCCCAGGCGTGGCACATCAGGTCAAAAAGGCAGTCAGCTGGCATTCAGAGGTGAACAGGGGAGTCCTAGAATTCCTACAATTGAGTTGGCCAAAATGGCATGGTTTGAACAGCGGAACTGGCCAGAGAATCATACCCACGTGGACCCAAGGTATAACATTGGACATGATTGTTGGGTTTCGCCGGGCTCTCTTCGTTCGTGTCATGTGGAGAGGTTAAGAGGCAAGAAATTGTGGAGACGAGTAGGCTTGAGTGGGCCTGAACATTTTCCAGGCAGGCGCAATTGCGCCGCTGATACACCTTCTGGCCCACTCTGACCGGGGAGTTCAAGCACAGGCATCCGAGAAGTTTGCTCGGTCGGCTTGCCTTGATTGGCGTCTACCTAATTTGTAGCATGCCAAACCCTGAAGAGTTGAATGCGTTTGAGTATAGTAAAAGTTGAATCACAAGGAATATAATTAGTTTAAATCCAGCAACAGCAACACCCAGCAATCAAGGTGCTTTTTGAGTGCTATTCTGCTAGATTATATATATATAGTATATATATTATTCTGCTATTCTGTTGCCTTCTGAGTTTGCGTTGGGGGTTGACAATTGATTCCGCTTGCCTTGGACATGTGTGCCTTGCATGGCTGCAGGCAGCCAGTGCACTGGGCAACCTAGCAGGCGATAGCTCGCAGAACCACTTTGCCAAGCAGGCGAAACGCAGGAGTTAAGCAAGAATGGTTTCAAGTTGTACTGTACTATAATAACATTAAGCGAATGGGGCGCATAGAGTTTTTGAATATTGCACATTGTTGCACACCGTATGCCGGATGGTTTTGCGGCTGAAGGCCATAACCATGTCCTAGGACCCTCGTAGAACTGCGCAAATCGACTAATCGGCTCAATTCTGAAACCATCTTCACAAAGGCTCGTTATTATAGCGATTTGACTAAAACTGATTTGACATTCGATATATAATATTTGCTGCATCTGTGTCGCTGATGAGCTGGCCAGGGTGGGTCAGTGGTAGTGCAGTTGATTTCTTTGCTGTCCCGGCCAGGTGACGATTGCTCAGGCAGGTGCTTTGAGTCCTCTAGTACGCCTCTTGACAACCGACAACGCAGAGGTGTGCCAAGCTAAGGTGAAGCAGCCAGTTGCTATTCAAAGTTGTGTCAATGTTGTTTAGTTCAGCATAGACATCTGTGAAAAAACACCATTTGAACGTCACAACTCGAGGCGTGAGGCTTCTGCCTCGGCGCTTCGGATGTTAGCCACCAACAATGCGGACAATCAGGCCGTCGATGTCGATGTCACCGGATCCAACAGATTTTCCGAAGTTGGCATCATTTTGGGCTCCTCTACTAGGAACAAGAAGCTACTAGTAACAAGTCCCTTACTAGTAGTAACAAGAAGCTACTAGTAACAAGTGCATCGCTTCTAGTAACAAGTGCCTTACTAGTAGTAGCAAGGACGCTACGAACGGGGCTCCTGGCCTTACTAATTACTAGGAGCAAGGACGCTACTTATCATGGTATAGGATTCCTGACTCGCGCACTGTAGCTTGGAC